AACCAACTCAGTCAACAGGTCAATGACTTTGCTCACAAGTTAGTTGAGTGAACAAAGATTTGTAATGATAATGTCCAAATTCATAGAAAAATATTTGTCCCTAATAGAAATGGATGAACTTGAATGATTATAAAAAGGTTGCAAACATTTTCTGACCTCTTTGTTTGGTCACAATTCACCCTCCGCACTTCAACTACTTTGTTTGAGCTCCCTTGGTTGCTTGATCCTTTTCTGATTGAATTCTGATGAACACCTTTCATAACCTGCCTCTTGCATTCTCTCCCAACAATGACTGATCAAACCAATACAACACAGATGTTGATATCTTATTGGTATTGTATTGGCAATCTGACACAAAAAGTCGGATTTTCTCATATTGGTTCAGCTGACCCCACATGTGGAGCACCTTTTTTCATGTCGGGTATTGGCAATACAATATCCAGGCTTGAACCGACATGAGATCACCTCATAAATTGACTGCTTTGAACCCCAATTGCAGTTGAAATGGCACTTTTGCTACAAATTCCATATTTTATCCACTGTTATTGTTTGGGCAATACAATATGAGCTGCGAGATTTTTTTGGTCTTCATATCGTATTGGGTATTGGGTCAGATATGTTTGCCCCTGGTTACGACATGCAAAGTGTCCGAAAAGTCACATTCAATTGGATTATTTTGGGTGTTGTTCCCAAATCCATCTTCTTTGGGCAACCAGCCCTGATTCCCATTTGTCAAACATGTCACAACTTCCCTTTACTTCATGAGGCATATATGCACAGCCAGCATATATGCAAAAATATGAGGAGTTCTTGGACTTCCACTCCAAGGGAAGCTCCGGCCGAGGGTCCAATCCAAGGCAACTGTGATGGCCAAAATTTGCCTCAGAGGTATCTTTGGGTGCGCTTTTCCTTGTGGGGGGCATCCAAGGACTCCTTGACATATGTTGCTGAGGCAACTATGAGGGCAGTTCTGGGTGGTCTGGTAAAAAACGGAAAATGTTTGCTGTGATACATCCCGTCCATCTCTGAGAGTTGAGGGCACACAAAATGTTTCTTGAAGGTCATGGGTCCCCCAAGTTTGCCAGTCAGCAGCCACATAATTTGTGTTTTGGTCTGGAGACCTGTTGAGATGTGTTCAGGCATCATCTTGAGCTCTTTTTAAGCTTTCCTGAAGCTTCTCTGAAGCTTGCATGAAGCTTCTGTCAATTCTTTCTGAAGCTTTCATGAATCTTTCATAATGCCGTGGTAGTCACTGGCCTGCCAGAGCCCAGTAGATGGGGGCTGTGCTTGAAATCAAGTTTCTCCGACGGTTGAACTTAAGTCCCGATTCATTGCGCCATCTCGAACATCTGTCGGTGACGTTCGACCCCAACAACCAAGATGCACTCACTCACCTCTGTGAATCTCATTGCAAGAATATCAAATCGTTGGAATATTTACCCCATCAAGACCGTGATCAAACGTATCCAATGATCTGGGCCATGCGTGATTCACTCGAGCTTCTGTTCACGGACCAGATACCAGACTCCCTGCCGGCCGACATTCTCGATATAAGCTTCCCAAAATTACGAGTGATTCGCGCTCTTGACTCGACGAGTGGGCACAGGGATCTGGAATGGCTTAACTCACGATTCTTTCAAAACATGGAGGTTCTGATTACTGGCTACGATACCTCGAATGACTATTGGGGGATGATGTTAAGAAACTACACCGGGGGGTCGCTCACTTCAGCACCTTGGTTCAAAGACATCATTTTTATCAGCGATGACAATGTTGATGTTCAAGATCTTGCTTTGGCTCAAATCTTTGAAGTTTATGGAATACGGTGCCACTTCAGATCTCAATTATCGTACTCGGAGTTGATGGTAAGCACCCCATGTCGTCCAAGTCAGACAGCCCAAAAACGGTGTGACCCTGACCATTGATGTGTTACAGAGACTGCTGCGTGCTGATAGATGCCAGAAAGATGTTGCCCTTTGAATCATCTTTGTGCAGTTTGTGCAAGGGACTTTGCTGGTGATCAAAATTGAAGAAAATGACGTGAAGGCTATTGTCTTATGAAGCACATCTCAATGATTCTGAGATTCCGTGACCAAACTCTATGTGCGACTATTGTCCCCTATTGTTATACTGTATTGTTTGATGCCTAACATTCGGTATGATTACAAGGAGTTGTCAACTCTGAAACAATTATATGTTTTGCCGCTTATTCGTCATGAACTTTGTTTGGATGGAACGTATAGAAGACAATGTTTCTTTCGAAGATTTTGATTGCCTGAGGGATGCCATTGCATGGTTTAACGATTAGTACGTAAGGCGTGAGCCCAATGTGTATTGAGGCGTGTGACCCAGCCGGAAGATCAGAAAAGCAGATCATCCGGCTACGAGTTAAGAGTTTGGTGCAAAGTGATCCCATCAGTAGGGTGATCACCATTTTGGAATCGATTCTGAGGGTAGCCGCGCAGCATGCCCGGTTCAAGACTTCTTAAGTTTCGGAGTTGGCTTATCACCGTTAAAATTATTGACGCTAAGGCTGGCTGACGCGCGGTCATGTGCGGAGGGAGGCGAACAAAATGAAATTCAAGGATGTTCAATACTATTACTGGTAAGCTCATAGTCTTGAAAGGGTCTGGTTTGGCTGTCAGACCTGAGAACTGTAATTTCCACTTTGAATGAAACATAAATACCATGTCATAAGATCACGAGTGCCTCGGGAAGGCAGACGTGTGTGATACTCAAACATTGCCAATGAAACTCGATCACAGTTCGGTATGAGTTCTGTACAGGTCAGAATGGAAGACTTGAGATGTGAAGCGCTCATTATTACACCGATGTTGATTCTTGCAGCGATACTGAAAGAAGCCTGGCTAGGCCTGGCTTTCAGAACCCAAAGTAGTTATGGGTAAGACGTTTCAAACAATCTAACGGTCAATAACAAGTCCACGAGGCTGAACTCTGATTGACAAGCATTCAACTGAACCCTGATCCTTCGCTTTCATGATATTGTAGATCGCGAGATGACACCATAGGACCAAGAATCGTGGTCACAACGTTGTAGATACTTCACATTTCGACGATGTGGGTGTTTTTGATAATCACCCTTGCCCTCTTTGACTACACGAACCGAGGCCAAAGAAAACGAGCCCGGGTAACTCGAGATGAAGATCGCCGCAACGAGTTTGACCATGATCATGACAAGCAACATGACCGAGGTTCGTTTCTACAAGCATAACTGTCCGATCTTTGAGCCACCGAACAAAAACTGACTTCATGATGTTTCAACAGTTCAATGGATACGGGCTCAGGTTTCAATTTCGTTTCGTTGGAATCTGGTCCACGAGCGAAGGCGATTCGTTTTATGATTGAGGGTGTGCAGATGGGACTGTATGTTTCATCAAAGCTTCGGAACTGAGGGTAACAATCGCGAATTCACGATAAACAATAGCCTACCGAACAGAAACACACCCGCCACGAAGCTCGACAAGATGAGTCGTTGAGCAAAAGTCTTGATTTGGATCGGCACCGTGAATGTCAACATTATTGTTGATCGTTGAAACCACATTAAGGGACCCCTTCTTGCAGACGATTAGCGAGTGCAGCGAGCTAGGCAGGTTTTCTCGTGTAGACATAATGGACACAAGCATGGATTACGAGAAGTCATACGATCTCAGCAGTAATCGAAGGGACTGAATACACGATAAAACCAGGTGCTGGACAACAGGAACAAAGACACATGTCAACATGTCGTCTAAGCGTGCGGCCGGGTCTGATGACGAGAGTGAATAACTTCGAATTCTGACTATTGGGTAACCATCGCCGAATCGATTTATTCACGCGCGGTGGCAAACATTTTCAATGTAAGCACAAGTCGCTTGGAAAGATTAAATGTCTCGCCAGATTGCCAAACTGGGGGTATACTGACTTCCAAAGCATAATCGCAGATTTCTTCGGGTGCAACTTGAATAAACAACATTGGCGGCAGGAATGAGGTATGCGAGTGGAGTTATGGGAAACCATAGCTCTGGACTGGGCTCAAGCTAATGTGCGTGTGCACTTAGAAAACATACTATTCGTCTGACTCTTGGTTCCTACTAAGAATCGATTTTATTACTCTCTGTTCGAAATGGCACCAAGGAGGGTTGCGCGAGGACGTGCCATACGGTCCGAACAACTAGGATCTGAAGCCAATCTTCGGCACCGATTTCGGAATGAAATCCCATTCAACCTTGGCACCCAAACTGATCAGTGTCAAGGATGTGGGGCTTACAGGTGGAGGCTTGAGCGCCGCGTAAAGGATGCTCGACTCCCGCGCGCCACGTTTGGCAATTGTTGTCGCCATGGAGACGTAGAACTACCGCTAAAGTACTTCCCACAATCCGTGGCCGAACCAGTCCCGGCGTTCTTCCGTGCTCTGCTGGAAGGAACTGATGATTGTAGGCGCCAGTAAACCAATCTGTTGGTGATTCAGAAACTGATTTGGTGAATGTTGCAGGTTCCAAAAATTTCCGCATCAAAATTCAAAAGTATAACAATGCCTTATCATTTACTTCTCTCGGCATGAGTCTCGATGGCGATGTAGTAGGGCAGGCGGGTCACTATATCTTCAGAATAAGTGGTCAACTCTCACACAATATCAATTCACTTATGACGCTTCCCGGCGGAGACCCCGGATTTGGTCAGATTTTCACTTACGGAGGTGGGGGGCAAACGGAGGCGCGTCTTAGGTCCCGCCGATCAGGAGTGGAGGGAGTGGACCCAGAAATCCTCTTACTGTTTCAAGAATTCATGTATCAACACAATCCTTACGCGAAAGTCTTCAAGTCTGCAGCAGCGATTTGTAACAATGAAGTTGTGCGGACGCTACGAATCAAAACAATCCTCGCCCCAGGATCCGACCATCGTCGTTACAACTTGCCAACGGCGAATGAGGTAGCCGCGATCATTGATGGTGATGGACGAGTTGGGGCGAAGCAGCGTGACATTGTCTTAGTCCGACAGTGCGGTGCGCGACAGCGAATCTCCGAGTTACACACTGGATATTTCGCGCTGAGATATCCTCTTCTTTTTCTCTACGGTTCCCAAATGTGGCACGAGCACTTCAGTAATCCGACCCCTTCGAGTAGGTTCTTTGCGCCTTGTGAGATTCTGTCACGCATTGACCATTCTGTTTCTCCAGATCCTGAAGGCGACGTCTCGAATCTCGATTGGTTCGCGTATCTTCTGTTCAGGCGGCCAGAATGGTCTGTCATTCTAGCTTCGGGAAGGTTGTTCCAGGAATTCGCCGTCGACATGTACGTTTGCGTAGAACACTCAAGATTGCAGTACCTTAGATTTCATCAAAATGAAATTCGAGCCGAAATGTACCAAGGTGCGATTGAGGCATTAGGTGACGAAACCGAGGATCAAGTCGTTGGCCAGAGGATTGTTTTACCATCCAGTTTCATCGGAGGCCCCAGGCATCTCAAACAATTATATCAAGACTCTATGAGCTTGGTAGCGGAGTTTGGCAACCCAAGTCTGTTTATTACAATGACTGCGAATCCTCGATGGGATGAAATCACGTCGGAACTAGAACCTGGACAAACTCACGAAGACCGCCCTGATTTAGTGGCACGGGTTTTTGCTCTCAAGTTGCTTGAATTGCTCGATGATGTCACCAAACGTGACCGACTTGGTGTTTGCTTAGCTTACGTTTACTCGATTGAATTCCAAAAACGAGGTTTACCGCACTGTCATTTGATCTTATTCCTGCACCCCGATTCACGTCCGGTGTCAACGAACGATGTCGATTGCTTAATCTCGGCACAACTGCCAGACCCGGATACAGAATCCACTTTGTTCGATTTGGTGACGCAACATATGTTGCATGGTCCTTGCGAAAAATATCCGTGTTGGATTGGGACTGCATGTACTCGAGGTTACCCAAGGCCCTTTTGCGAAACGACTTCAATGCCTGAGGACTCTTATCCGACTTACAAGCGGCCCAACAATGGCCGTCACTTTAACAAGGGTAAAATCAGGTACGAGAACAGCAACGTGGTGCCGTATAATCGGTTTCTGTTGCTCAAGTTCGGGTGTCACATAAATGTGGAGGTTGCCGGGAGCATACGAGCTATCAAGTACTTGTTCAAGTATATATTGAAAGGTCATGACCGGACGATGGCGAATATTGAAGACGAAGCCAGCAAAGATGAAATTTTGGCGTTCCTAAATGCACGATATATTTCTGCTCCTGAAGGTAAGATATCCGGATTATGATAATCAGAAGTACTGTCATTAACGCTTGACTTCAGCCATATGGCGACTTCTTAGATTTCCGATTTCAGGGCGCTATCCATCGGTTCAACGCCTGGCTTTACATTTAGAGGACTCTCAGACCATATACTTTCAGGATGAGGCAGGATTACGCAGGCAACTCGAGAGTGGGAGAGCTGAAAGAACAACCCTGACGGAATTCTTGCGGCATTGTCGTGAGAACACTAAACTCCCCTATGCTGACGGAACAATTCGAAGGCTCAAATACCAAGAAATCACGCGACACTTCACCTGGGACAAAAAAGCAAGGAGACTAAAACCTCGAGCCAATAAGTCAATCGCAATCGACCGAGTGTATTTTGCGAACATCAAGAGGGGTGATGTATACTATCTAAGGCTATTATTATCAAACATCAGCGGACCTAAATCATTTCAGGACCTCCGCACTGTCGATGGAATTATCTACAGCACGTTTCGAGAAGCCGCGGATCAGCTTGGTCTGTTGCTGTCTGACCGTCACTATCATAATAGTCTTACCAACGCTGCCACAGGTACTATACTAGTATCAGTATCTTGCAGTATAGTATCTTTTTTGAAAGTATAGTATCCAGATACTTAATATCGGAAACCAGATACTATACTCCCAGGTGCTGAAAGACAGTATCTTAAAATTGGATACTAGTATCTGATACTCTTCCAAATGTAGATACTAAAGATACTTGGTATCTGCTCAAGATACTATTGGGTATCTGCAGATACCTGAGGATACCCGCGAGTATCTGAAGTATCCACAGGAGATACTATACTGGACCCTGAGGTTTTTAGGTATCCTGGTTTTGGATACTGTATCCAGTATAGTATCTTTTTAGGATACTATACTGATACCTTTTTTTTGCAGTATTGCAAAGGAGATACTATACTTGGTATCCCCAATACTATACTAGTATAGTAACTGTGGCAGCGTTGGTCTTACTGAGGCAGCAGTGTGGCAGACGGGCAGTCAATTGCGCCGTATGTTTGCAATTATTTTGGTCCATAGCTCGCCAGCCGATCCTAAAAAACTATGGGCAGACCACATCAACAATTTGTCTGACGATTGTGAGTATCAGATCAGGCAACTAAATTCGAGCATCAAGCCAACAGCTGAGCAAATTACGAACTACCACTACACCAAATGTAATCTTTACCGGGCGGTAAAGAAAACTACTGACATAGAAAAGTCCTGAGGCAACAGGAAGAGAGCTAAAAATCTGAAAAAATATGCACCTTGTTCCTAGATGTTGGGGCGTCATGATGAGTATTTTTTTGTATTTTACACGCAGATATTGGTTTATGTACTAACAATAAACGCTGAAAATCATCAAAAACTCACATGTAACAATACCTGAAATTTGGGTCATGAGTATGAAGACAATATTTTGTGGTCTGAAAACTTCAATAACTTTTGCAATTCTGCTCCAAGTAACTCGATTTTTGGTTCATTCAAAAGCTGAACTAATCTCCTTCACACTTCATAATGTTAGTAAGGTGCTATCTAGTCATTTAAACACTCTACATATGTTCAAACAGTTCTGCATGAATATCTCTGTAGGATCTTTTTGAGACCAGCTACAGATGTGATGTCTGAATGAAAAATGTAGAGGAAAGGCTCACCTTTTTAATGCACTTCAAATCGAGTGATTTGATTCAGAACTGCAAAAGTTATTGATGTTTGAAGATTTCAAAATCCTGTCTTCAAAATCAAGGGCCAAATTTCAGGTATTGTTACAGGTGGGTTTTTGATGATTCTCAGCCTTTATTGTTAGTACATTAACCAATGTCCGTGTGTAAAATACAAAAAAATACTCATCATGACGCTCCAACATCTAGGAACAAGGTGCATATTTTTTCAGATTTTTAGCTCTCTTCCTGTTGCCTCAGGACTTTTCTATGTCAGTAGTTTTCTTTACCGCCAGGTAAAGATTACATTTTGTGTAGTGTACGGGTTGCGTGAACTCAAAAAAATTCTTCTCTCGATGGAATCAAACCTTGGTTCCGTGGGTTTAGACCCAGTAAACGAAAGATTGACATGTGATTTGGAGCTTCCTGGAGTTGCTACAACTAGCCGGAATCGACAAATTGATCCCGTCGAGAGCGAGCGTAAGTTTGAAGCAATGTTGCAACTCTTGACTCTAGAACAACGGTCTGTCATTGGACCAATCGTCGATGCCCTGAAGAGCAATGCGCCTTACCTTGCGTTTCTGGACGGTCCTGGGGGTACTGGCAAGACGTTCGTTCTGAACTGCATCTTGCACTACTGCAATGCGCACGATTTTAAATTTCAGGCGGTTTCTGCAGCTGGTATTGCTTCACTCTTATTATTTTATAAAAGGTAGGACAGCACACAGCGCATTCAAGATTCCAATCACGGTGGATGCGGAGTCCGTCTGCGCGGTATCTTCGAGGGACAGGGCTGGGCGTAGCATGAGGGAAGCAAGATTCATCGTATGGGATGAGGTGGCAATGCAGCATAAGCACGCAATTGAATGCGTCGATCGGACGATTCGTGATTTGACTGGAATCGACTTACCCTTTGGAGGAAAAGTTGTTTTATTTGCCGGCGACTTTCGACAAACGCTCCCTATTGTAAGACGATCAAATCTTATGCAACAAGCAGCGGCGAGTCTCAAAGCGTCTTATCTCTGGAATCACATTGAACGATTCGCATTGACTTTGAACATTCGCCTCGGTGGAACACTCTCTCGCCCAGACCCTGCCAACACAAACTTTGCTGCCTGGTTATTACGATTGGGGTCCGGAGAGCTCCAACAAGATTACACTGCAAGTGTTCCTTTGATGTTTTGCAACGTGTCTGTCATTCAACCACCATCGGTTTTTAATCCTGAGCTTGTGAGCACCGAGTACAATGGAGCCATAGACCTGATTGAGGCTCGGGACTGGAATAATTTAACGGAGCTATACTCAAGTTGTTGCGTAATAACGCCGGTGAACGAAACAATGTCAATGATCAATAATCATGTTATGGAATCTTTGCCTACGGAATATCACGTATCGACGGCGCGAGATGACATGGATGAAGCGTTTTGTGACCCGGTTTCGGTCGATGTGCTCAACAGTTTCAACTTTCCTGGATTCCCATCATACACGATGAACCTGAAAGTAGGAGCATCAGTGATGGTGTTAAGGAACCTTCAACTGGCAGAGGGACTCTGCAATGGTACCCGTCTGCTCATCACTGACTATCAAGAGCACGCTTTGCAATGCTGAATCTTGACCAGCGAATTGAAAGGGACATCAATCAGCTTACCAAAAATTCGGCTACATCACGAAGGCAACGAAAACTGCCCCATTCCGTTTTATCGTTATCAATTCCCTGTGGTTCCTGCTTTCTGCATGACAATAAATAAAAGTCAGGGGCAGAGTTTGGAAAGGGTGACAGTTCTTCTACCAAACCCAGTATTTGCTCATGGGCAGTTATATGTCGCTCTTTCGCGGTGCACGTCGGCTGCCAACGTGCATGTTTGCATTGTTTCAAATGAAGATATTTTGACTACACAAAACATTGTGTTTCACCCGGTTCTTCAAAATTAGATATTGTTCATGGTGTCAGATGAGATTCAAGCTTGATGTACTGACAACGTGGGACAATATGAATCTTGCCTTTTGTGATCTTCTAAAAAGTTGCTTTGTGAGCGGACAAATTTACGCGTACACATTTCAAGACTTGTCAGACTTTGGATGAGATGTTGAATTTGTAAACCCATGGTTCGCTGAAGTAAACCGTTGTTTACAAATTAATGTGTTTGTGGTAACTTATGATGTGTGTGCGTTGATTTATGTTTCTTACGTTTTTGAGCGCAATGAGTCCTCGAATTAAAATGCTACCATTTTTGAAGCGCCAAGGGGATACAGATTGACCAAATTGAATTGGTCATGAACTTGGTTTGTTTGGTAATGTGCACACAATTTCAGTCATGTCTAGAACAGGATCTCTTTGATCTCGATTTTCCCCTCGGGCACCCTTCTGGTTTCGTCCTACAAAGACCCATTGCAGACATAAATTAACGGTGCAACGCTTGAGCTCAAATTCCCGATATATTGAACTTCAATGATCTCATTCGAGTTCGTCAAATAGACTGTCATTACACTTATCAAACTAATGTTATACTAAGACCCATGTTCTCTGCTTGCGAGCAGATCCGTGGGGAGGATAAAATGTTTGTGATCACGAGCACAAGAGCTCAGTGGTCAAAAAAGTAGGCCGACGATCTCGAATTGGTGGAGGTTGAAAAAACGGGTCGGGTCTACACTGTCTCACCCGAAGGCTCGGGCTTACCTGTTCATTTTTGTCATATGTATGTTCAAATTTTCACGGTCAAACAATACCTGCCACGTCTCCAGTGCCTTACTTTTCGCGCAATAGTTCCGCTCGACGCACAAAACAGCTGCGAAATCAATTCGCAACTGCTCAAGGATACTAATCAGGTAAGTTGGCTTCGCGGGGTAGGGATTTCGTCGATTGACCAGGCGAAACCGTAAAGAAATCGGGGGATTTTTTTACTGTCGATAACCTTTGACCATTGATAAGTTCGAGGAGGAGTTGAACAAGAATCGGGATTATGCGGAAAAATCGGGGATACTCAGTGAGCATTCTGTTGATTCAACTGAGGAAATGAACGATTACTGACTGTCTTTGCACCAATCAGTTCAATAAGCGTGGGGTGAGTCATAAGCGGGGAGTTATGCTTAAAAATTAATAACATTTCAAACTGACCGCTGGTGGAATGGGTTTGCGGTGGATCGGTGTGACTATGACTAATGATATCAAGGTTCCAACGCTCTGGAAAACTGGAGTCATCAATCTTCATCAATCGCACCTCGGCTCTATTTTGGTAAGTGGCTTTGTGACATAACATACCTATTTTCGCAATGTGGAGACAATGTAAAATGATTGCGTAACGGGAGTGGATTCATCATCACATTGAGGATGACTAACTCTGACAGACTCTTATAATTCTTGCACTGTTGATCGCAGACAACACCCGCGCCTACATACGCTTGAGGAAGGATCACAATTCGGGATTTGACCATCTCTCGTGCTTGCAAAACCAGTGCTCCCGCGCTCGGTTTGAGGGCTGTCTTTTCGGGTACGTTCACTAATTTTGTTACATATCCTACTCTGCCATCTTTGCCTGTGAGTGACTACGATGTGATGCCTGTGAAGTTTGTAGACTTTGGTAATACTAAGATTGGTTGTAAAAGTTTCAGCGCTCTGTTTTGTTTTGGCGTGTCTCTCAGCCTGGCATGAAGTACAAAGAGCTTGACAATGGGATCTCTGGGACTGAAACTCCCAACTTCGATGCTGGTGGGTAGCCGGTACCATGGGGAGCAAGGAAAGTGCTCAATTGCGAGCACGAGCTAAGAATATAAGCGAGTGAGTGTAAACTTTCATCTTGGTACTACTGTTACTATTGATTTGCCCAGATGTCGCGTGTCAGAAAATGGCAGATGTTTAAGGCTCCGACCCCAACATGAATATCTCAACCACAACTAGCCCAGTAACCCCAACGTGTTGGTTTTCTTTGCTTATAACTGGCATGTGGAGACGACGCTTAGCTAACCATTAATTCCATTGCTGAACTTCATAAAGCAGAAAAACATCATGGTTGGTAATGAGCTTCCAGTCGAAGTGATCGACTTAATTCTACATCATTTTATGCATGAATCTAAACAAGCGAGTACTACAGAGCGGGAGAACACTGTCGACAAACCGTTCTTAGATCGGTCGGCCATCGGCGAGTTACTTCAATTACGATTAATCAACAGCGCTTGGTCAGGTGCGGTTCTACAACGTGCGTATCAAGATGTGACTTTATCGGCACCCTCAATGATTGAATGCTTCAAAGAAACTTGGAAGCACTCTACGATCGTCTCGACTATGTCTTCAGTGCGAAGATTGTGCTTTGATAAATCAGAATATCCAAATTTAGAATTTCACCTAGATTTCGATGAGTTGAGAAGCAGCCGAAACGGAATTCATGACATTACAATAGTCAAAGAACGGGTAGATTTATTGTCGGTGAAAATGCAAGATGTAGAGGCGATCATCAAATTATGCAGTGACACTTTGACCGATTTAAAATTTGATTTTTACGGTTCAATTGGTTTCGCTCCGACTATGATAGAAGCTATCAAACAAGCTCAATACCTCGACAAATTAATCATTGCAGGGAGCCATTTTGCGATTGACGTCAACCACTCTAGGTCATTGAAGGATTTGCTCAACGTCACTACTCAGCTTCGATCGCTATCACTCAACTTTGCATACTTGAACCGGGTCGACTTGAACCCTGGATCGTTACCGCACTTAGAGCACCTGTTCATTAGATCTGACCGAAGCAATTTAGATGCGATCACTCATTTCTGCAAAGGTCATGGCAAGGGTGTGAAGTTTCTCGAGTATGTACCGATCGATGGTCACAAGCGACCCGATCCAGTTATCTTAGCTTTAAAAGACTCACTTGAATACCTATTCCTAAAAGGCATTCCTATTTCACTTCCAAGAGATACCTGTCATAAGGAATTTCCACGACTAAAAGTTATACGTTCTGTTGAAGCAAAATGCAAAGGCAGGAACATCGAATGGTTAAAATTGAAGTTGTTTGAGAACATGGAGGTTTTGATAACTTCTTATTTACGTTCAAAAGATTATTGGCGAACCGTGTTATCCACCCATACTATTAGTTCATTTGTAAAACCTGCCCGATTCAACCACGTTGTGTTCTTGACCTCTATGATGGTGGAAGATCAAGACTTGGTTGAAAACTTTAGGAAGCATGGGATTCAATGTCACTTCAAATATCAATGGACGTATCAAGATATTTCTGTAAGTCGTTCAATTGCAAAGTCTTGAAATCATATCATGATCTAATCTGAGTGCTTCGTTCGTGACAAACCATAGGAAGAATTGTCAAGAGGCGCACAGTGAATTCAAGGTATCAATGACAGAGCATTATTGATGGATATGGTATGTATATGTTTGGAGCAATATTGACTGGAGCAAACGTAGAACTGATGATGATCTTGACTACAGGGAACAATCATCTTCAAAGGTTTCTTGGGTCATTCAGCGAGTAAATTTATAAATGTGGTAGATCTTTGCTTGGTGTGATCGTAAGGCACAGAAAGTCTGGTGTTACTATTTTAATGTCTTTTTAATAGATTCGAAATTCGTAGGTCTACATAATTTGTTTGTTTGGATCAGGGTCAGGTGAATATCACGATTTGAGGTTGAATATTCACGTGCGAAAAGTTTAGATCTTGCCATGTGGTTTGAGCAAGGAGTGGTGAGATACCTACTTCACCATGTTGTATGAAACAGACCGTAAGGGAGGGGAGTGCGCGAGTGAAAAACTTGGGAGCAGATGTCTCGTGAGAGTTGCAACGCTGATGGTGTGATTGGTTTTCATTGTGTAAGGGAAAGGGTACTCAGTTCAGGGTGAGAGAGTAAGGTCGGTAGTTAAGTTGAAAACGGAGAGAAAACAGCTTGGGTCTAAAATCGTGAGGTGCTACTATGGTAACCTGATGAAGGAATGTAGACTTCGGGATTGACAACAGCAACACACACGCTGTAAGAGAAGTCAATGTAACACTGTAGGTTGAGGTTGATCGCTTTAAGGTATAGGAAGACTATGTCAGCTGGAGTAATGCCCAGGTGGCAAGTATATTGGGTAAGGAAATAAAACAGTATGGTAATGAAGATAAAGAGCAGTGTGGAGGGATGGAGTGTGTAATGATGTGCAAGAGTTTTGAGAACAGTGACAGATAAAGTTTTTTGAGGCGGCGCCCGCCGCGGAATATGCTAGTCAACCCTTTGAATTTGAATACCCACCACCGTATGAGCCAGGCCCAAATCCTCCATTTCCCACTTGGATGAAATTTCGGCCTTGAACTTAGCAATGTCGTTTCCAGTGATTGCAAGGTCATCGACATGTACATATACTGCCGTGAACAACTTCCCCACAGATCGGATGTAAATACAGTGGTCAATCTCACATTGATAGAAACCGATTTCAATGAGAAATCCTTTGACATCGTCTTGCCAGATTTTCGGAGATTGTTTGAATCCGTACAGTGATTTCTTCATTCTCCAGACTTTTCCAACGGTTGAGGCAGTACGGTATCCTTCGGGAATTTCAACATAAAGTTCTTCGTGTATGATACCATTTAGAAAGGCTGTTACTGCATCCATCTGATGGATTTCCCAACCATTGATTGATGCCAAAGCTACAAGCAAACACAAAGACCCAGGTTTCCCAGTCGGCGCAAAGGTTTCGCCATAATCTTGACCAGGTATTTGAGTATTACCCATCGCCACAAACCTAGCTTTGTATTTGATTTTACCATCCACCAACATTTTCCTCCTGAAAACCCACAGACCTCTGATTACATTTCAATCAGTTGGACGATCAACCAATATCCAAACCTCCTTGTCCCTCAATGAAGCAAACTCTTTATCACAGGCAGCCTTCCACAAATCAGCGTCAGTTGAAGCCATAGCTCGCTTGTACAACTTAGGATCGGGAGTTGAATGAATATCAGCCAGATTGCACTCGGGAGGAAGGCACACGAAGAATGATTCAGTGATAAAGTCATCTTCAAATTCAGATCCTGACGAACACATTCCTCAAAGACTATCATGAATTTTCTTCGATGACCGGTTCGAACGTCGAGGAGCTTCCTGAACAGATTTTGTTGGCAGCACAGTCTCGGAAGTCACATTGGGAATGTTTTCGGGTGTTGGTAAGGGTTTAGTGGAAATGATATCTTCAAGATCTTCTTCCTCGTCGTCAAAGAAACGCACTTTGACCGAACCTCTGTCGGACTCAGCAGGCTGAGCAGGAAGAATAGTTGGAAGAGACTTGAAAGGAAACACATCCTCATTGAAAGTCGAGTGATGAGTAATATAAATATTTCTTGAAGACAAGTCGAAGATTTGATAGTTAAAATTGTCTTGCTCAAAACCCAACAATACACCCTCCAAGCTAACAGGCAAAAATTTGGATGAACGAAGTTCTTTTCGAATTAGACCAAAAGCTTGGCAACCGAAAACACGGAGATGATTTACAGATGGTTTACGGAAGTACCACATCTCAAAGGGAGTCTTACCGCCTTCCAGAGCAGCTGTTACACAACGGTTGGTGAGAAACACTGCGGTGCTACATGCAAAATACCAAAAGCGAACTGGTAGAGATGATTCCAACATCATTGATTGTGCTCTGGTGTTGACGATGCGCATGCTTCTTTCGGAGACACCGTTTTGCTCAGGAGCATGGCCAGAGGTTAAATGAAGTGTGATCCCAAGTTCCTTGAGCTTGGGACCAAGTAAATTGTTCAGAAATTCACTGCCGCTGTCCAGCGTAAATTGTTTCAACATACACCCCGTCTGCCTTTCTGCGACAGCAATGTAAGACATAAACACATCATACACCTCTTCTTTGGTCTTATCCTTGAGTGGATAAATATGCCGAAAAGCTGAGTAATCGTCACAAAACAAGATAAAATATTTTTCATTGTTGACACCTGTTGTTCTGATTATCCCACTTAAATCGACATGAACATTTTCTAAAAATACACGAGCACAAGGTCTAGTTTTATTATGTGGTAGTTTTGTATTTTTGGACAAAGCACATATATCACAAGCAAGATCTTCCTCAAGATACTCAAAGTCCTCCACACTATCAAGCCGTGCCATCATCTTTAAGTATTTGTTGCTGACATGGCCCAAGCGACAATGTTGAAGTGAAGCAGTGATTTCAGTTACATTTGCTGATGGTGACGTTGACGAAGAGTTTAGACCACTCACAGGTTCGAGTAGAATAAACATGAGATTATTGTCGGAGATGAATCCATTGAAAATAGCGAGACCATTAAGAACTAAGGAGAAATTCGTGCTATCATGGAACAATTCTCTCACCCCCTGTTTCTTCAACAAAGCTCCAGCGATGAGATTACGAGAGAGTTCAGGAACGTAGAGGCTGTTCTTGAGCTCAAAAGGTGTTTCATCACCAGCCAATAACTTCGCCACTCCACGGCTATGCACAGCTAGAGACATATCACCACCGGCTAATTTGAGTCGTTTGCTGGCGTCGTCGATCTTCATGAGGGTGGAAAGATCAAAGAATTTCTTGTCTTTAAACATATGGTGAGTTGCACCTGTGTCATGGAGGGCCCAATCTCTAGAGGATGAAAGAGCAGCAGAGACCGAAGCACTAATGTCAGGGTCTTCTTCGAATTCGGAAGGTGAAGCTGACACTTGAGACATTTGAGAGATTTCAGGATCTTTTGGTTCTTCGTCGACGAATTCAACGTTCAGTGAGAGAAACGCCATGCTAGCCGATGCGTTGTTGACACTAGCATCAAAAACTTTCTTAACACCTTTCACAGAGGATGAAGAAGTAGGTTGAGAAGAAGAAGGACCAGGGCTACTACCCCCGGATTTCCCTCGAATTTTAGCCAGGAAAGCCAGTCGTTTGTCGGCATTCTCGGGTTTGGACCAACAGTTCTTAGCAAGATGAGGTCCAACACACTCGTCGGGACTACACTCGCCAGAAACCTTCTTAGCAGGCCGAACTGAAACCGCGTTGACTTCTCTGATTGCTGCACAAGTCCAGCCGTGCCTTTCTTCATACTTGCGAAGATACGAGCCAACTCCCTCACGAGTCAAGGGAACGACCGTATTGTTGTTGTATTCTTTCGTTTCGATCGAAAGAGACGGGATAGCACCCATAAGCATTCTGGCAGATTGAATATCGGAAAGTTCGCCCTTTAGACGATAGAATTCCCGAATTAGGTTCTCAAACTTGTCGACGAAGGAAGTGAGTGAGTCAGTTTTAGCAATTTGACACGAATAGAGAGCTTTGGTGACTGCTTCTAATTTATCTTCGGAAATACGATTATGATAGCTTTTGAGAAAAGTCCAACATTGATAAGGATCATAAATGATTTCGCACACATCTTCAGGGTCTGTAAGATGGTTGCGAGTTCTGACTTTGTTCACAGAATCTAATCTATTGAGGATGTATGTAGTTAGATTGAAACATGTCTTCTCGTGCTCTTCATCAGACAGTGAAGCCTTTCGAAAGCCTTTGATCTTGACGTAATGATGAAGTTCCAGAGACCGAAATACTTCCATCAATGATTGGCTCCATTCAATGTAGTTTTCGTCTGTCAAATCGTCCGAGACCTTGTATTTGCTTAGAGCATTCGTCATGATTTGAGAGTACTTTTGGATTTGATCACCAAACACTCTGGACTCGACATTATCGGCCATAGTGGTCAACACAGGAGCCTTTGGGTTCGGAGGTTTTGAAGGAGAGTCTGAAGACACGGGATCTGGTGATCCCTGGCGAGCCGTTCTCAAAGAATCGGTAGAATGTGAAGAACTTGAGCCTTTGGTAACTGTAGAGTTGTCCAGAGAATTGTCGTCAAGTTGATCGGCGAAAGATGAACTCATACAAGTAATTGGGTTGAAGAGATCGTATGCACTCTCGCTACCATATAAAGTTCTCGACAAAGATGCTGTTCTCGAGATTCCAATGAATCTTGAGTAGACTAAATGCTAGAAAACGCGTATAGTATAAAAAGGACACCTGGAGGAACAGGTTCCGCGTAAGACTATAGCTTGACTGCTAGTCTACGACGAGAACAAGAAACACTAACCTGGAGGAACAGGTTCTGCGTAAGACTATAGCTTGACCGCTAGTCTACGACGAGAACAAGAAACACTAACCTGCGAGCTCAAAGTAAATCGTGAAGAGCACGCGTAGAGATGATTAGAACAGATTATAAATGAACAGTTTGATTCTTTTCGACACGCTACTAACCTGGAGGAACAGGTTCCGCGTAAGACTATAGCTTGACCGCTAGTCTACGACGAGAACAAGAAACACTAACCTAACAACACAAACACAACAATAAATAAAAGAGAAAAGTGTGATCAGAGAAAAGAGTTAAAATGAACAAAGTGAATCAGAAGAAAGATCACTACCTGCGAGCTCAAAGTAAATCGTGAAGAGCACGCGTAGAGATGATTAGAACAGATTATAAATGAACAGTTCTAAGTTAAAAGTAATGTATCAGTGATCATAAAGTGAAACAAATTGATGATTATTGAAAAACTCACTGATTCTTTTCGACACGAAAAGAAGCAGAAAAGAGAGGAAACAAAAACACAAAAAGAAAATAGATGACCCAAATGATTCCTCCATTTACCCCTGGGTTCAGTTTACCTACATACCCCTTTGTTCAACCAATCAATTTTACACTAACGCACAACACAACATTCCTTCTAGCCTAACCGAATACAACCTCCACTCTAACCTCCTCAATTTCCACATAAGGGAAAATGATCTTTGACTCACATACCAAGATAACATCTAATATCGTAACAGAGGGGTTGTCCTCCTCCTTGTTCAAGATCATGACAATCAAAAGTTGCACAAGCAAAAGTGGTACAGGGTTAGGGTTAATCTTACTTTGAATTACATAAAACACCAAGATTGAGGTCAAAAACCATAACATTTGAAAATCAAAAATTCAATCAATGTTGCATTTGGATTGATTGATTTGCCTTAAAATTGATCATGAGTCAGTGAAGACTTAGAAGAATGAAAGGCAAGGAAAAATATGTTCTTTAAATATAAAATTTGAGCATTCAATTCAGATTCAGAAAGAATATCAATGGGGAGCTTGATTTTGATTGGGAAAAAAGGTACTTACAATCAAGTAAAAGGATTAATTTTGATTCAGTGAGCAAATTGATTTGAATCGAGCAAAGATTGTGACTTTGTTTGAGACAGAAGATTGGTTTGGATCCTGTTAAGGAGGAATGCGGCTAGGACTCTGATTCTTAGTCAATGTTTGACATTTTGATGATAAGGAGAATGACGAAGTCAAAGGGAGATACATACAGGATGTGCATTGGATCCATCAATAAGAAGATTTGGGTGAGGCACATACATATGTAGGTGTGGATTGACTTGCAAAGTTGGATTGGCAGATGGGGTGGAAACAGGCAAAGCAGCCATTGGATGACTGGGAATTTGAATGAAGGGAACCACAAACAAACCTTGAGATGGTTTCTGACACATGTGCAAAACTTGGAAATTGTACTAACGGTGGATTTTGTCCAGTTTTGTTTGAATTGCTGGTTTGCCTTTGATATGAATGAATGATCAAGAGTTGATTGGAAATGGGGTTTTGAAACCTACGGGGGTTTATCAAAGTTGTACTGCTCAAGTTTAATAAGATCTACCCAAGGATGCTATTGCAAGTGAAAGAACCATATGGGCACCACATTTGCCATACCCCAAAGTCTGTTGTGCAGATGAAAAATAGCAAGATCCTTATTGTTCTTGACAAATTGTAATGTATTTGACTCAGTCTCACCTCGTTATGGGAACCCCATGAATTGGATCAAGCTGCTAGGCAATGAAGGATGCTCAACTTTATCAATCTTTCAATTTGTACCTTGATTCTCAGCCTGAGCCCCGGAATGGACACCCCAAGGGTTCCCTGAGCCCCAAACCCTCGTGGTGCAAGTTTGGTCAGCTTTTTTGGGACCCCAGTAAATCGCGGGCCCCGTAGGGTTTGGGGGCGGGGTGGCCTAGTTCTCCAGCCCCCGATCTTATCCGTGGGGACCCCTGGCTTCCCGCGGGTTTGAGGCAGTCGGGATAGGGGTCGGGGGGCTTTCTGGAAGCCGGGTTTCAATCGGTTTTTTTTTTTTTTTTTTTTTTTTTTTTTTTTTTAAAGTGCTTTTTGGCTAATTGCATATAACACTATCTAAACAATACAATGGAAAATGACTAGTACACCTAGAAAAAACGGCCATCTAATTGAGAACAAGAAAGATCATTGACTTTTGGGCTTGAGAGAAAATTTATATGAATCAAAGCTGTTATAGCTATTAAACCCTCTTTTTTTCAAACGGCTTTTTTTTTTTTTTAAAGGAAAAAAGAACCCATCTTTAGGCATTTGGCCCACCCGAAGGAAAACGATGGGCCTCCTCCATCTCTTTAATGAGATGTTGGAGTCATTAGACTCAAGAAACTTCTTGCGTACTCCTTGAGCAGGAAAGCTGGCCAAGTTGGTGTTTAGAGCTAGAATAGACCCCTCGATTAATGCCTCGCCAGCCTTTGATCCTAGACGTTGCTTGGAGGCTGGCGAACCTAAAAAGGATTGAGCAAAATCGGATACGTAACAAACTTGTTTTTAGAGTCAACTATGACTATTGAAAAATGTCTCGAAAACCTTTGGGTCCAAGACGGTACTTGGAGGTTGACGAACCCTTAAAGGGATTGAACATGATTCGGTTACGTATAGGCATCATTTGATTGGTAGGCGATGTACATCTCGAAGTCCTATGTATCCAGGGCGGCACCTGGAGGACTCCGAACCCTTAAAGGGATTGAACGTAAATCTTGGTAAAAAGCGTTTTTGTTTAGGGAGATTCTATTTTCTACACCCTAGGTCTTTTCGATATTCTGTCTCGTGGCCGCCTTCTTGGGTTTTTTGTCCTGTGTATAGGAATGAAAATGAATAAAGCGATTTGTTTGGAGAATGAAATCAGCTAGAAACGGGAAAACTTTCGGGGCGTCAAGTATTTTACTGGCATTGTTCCAGTTCACTTTGATCCCCTCTTCCTTCAAACGGTTCCTGAATTGTTTGCGTGCTCTCTTGTAGCGGCTGCAATATAAAAGGAAATGTTCAGTAGATTCTTTCAATTTACAATGTGGGCAGAGAGGGGAGTCAGAAATTTTCCTCTTGAATAGATGATCATTTAGGGGGCTGTGTCTTGCTCGCAGCTGAAAGACTGCTGCAGCCCCACCTTTTTCCATACCCATTAAGCTTTTTGAGATCTCTTTGGCTTTGGTCCTAAACTTGTTCTTGCCTGGGATCAACGTCACATTTTTAAGATTAAATTGTTCATTTGCACGTTTCCTGATGCTGCCTAGGCTTGATGGGATCGAAATGGCGTTCGCGCTGTTCTCTGCGGCCTTCTTCGCGAACTCGTCTGCTTTTTCGTTCAACTCAATATCTACATGTCCTGGAGTCCAATAAAGGCGAATCTTGGGGTTAGTGGGTAAGCGTCTCAGGTTAGTTCGTATCTTGATTACAAGGTGTTGCCCCGAACTTTGTCTCGGCGTGTTGTGAATCAGTCTCAAAACTCCTTGATTATCACTGAAGATGGCGAGGTCGCTCAGCGCTGGACCTCGACGTCTGAGAAGTTTGTTGGCCAGCTCAGTGGCTTGTACTATACCTAAAAGCTCCGCTTCATGGTTCGAGAAATTTTCCTCGAATTTGATGGAGAGAGTTTTGTGTGTCGATTTGGTGACTGCTGCAGCTCCTCCTCCTTCTTCACTTACCGATCCATCAGTGAAAATGATTAATGAGTTTCTCTGCTCCTCTTCTTCTACTTGTTTAGGCACCAATTCTTTGATTTCATCCTTTGATTTGTCTAAGTTGAAGAGTTGTCCTAGGTTCCTTGTCCACGGGACCAGCGAGTGAGCGAAGATAGTTTCTACTTTCTCTTTTGCCAAACTCTGGAAACTCCGAAAATCTAAGGTGTCTCGTACCGGACCTTTGTGCTTGAGCGCATCTCGAGTAAGTTTGTGTTTAATGAATTTCTGCGTTGGATGATCGTCTGGGGCTGATAGTCTTTTCGCCATAAAGGTGTGGTGTCTTTTCGTTGCAATGAGTGTAAACGGCGTGAAGTATGCATCGTGGTTCAGCATATCTATCGAGGTGCCTTTGAAGGCTCCTAGCACAATCCTAAGAGCTGCGTTCTGTAATTGGGTTAGGATTTTGGACGCTTTGCCTTCAGTCTTACCTGTTAGCCATACTACACTCCCATAGAGGATTCTAGGGAGGAGGATGGCCATAATAAGTTTTCTCGTCTCTCTGGGCGAGAGGCCAGAGTAGCACTTGTTCAATCGTTGGAGTTGGTGGATTGTGAATTCGCCTACCTTTTTGACATGTTTGAGGTGATGATTGAAGAGTAGTTTGGAATCAAACCATACTCCTAACCATTTCACCGCTTGACTCGGTTGCAGAGAGGCTTGTCCAAATTGAAAGATCGGTGACTCCTTAATGCGTTTGTTAGTGAAATGGATGAGCTGGGCCTTCTTTTTATCGAAGATCGCTCCGTGTTTGGAGGCCCACTGTAGTGACCGCTCGGCTTCTGTTCGAAGCTTGGAATAGTTTGTTTCTAGAGTTTTGGAAGAAACCACATGTACTACATTGTCAATAAAACCGATTGAGAGAGTTTGGGAA